GCAACCGGTCAAAGGCCTGGTTTGTCCAGCAGCAGGGGCCCGGATGGCTGTCGGAGAGGCTCTGACCAACCTGCTGTTTGCCAGAGTCACGGCTCTGAAGGTGAGATCACCAAAATACTAACATGTTGTCAAGCTGAAAGAAATCGCAAACCCCTTTGAGTCCCAACCGATACGACGACTTTGTTGGTCACTTCCTGCTCTGTTTCTGAGATATTCCAAGTTTCCGTGTCACATTTCAGGATGTGAAGTGCAGCGGGAACTGGATGTGGGCCGCCAAGCTGCCCGGTGAGGGGGCGTGTCTGTGGGAGGCCTGCAAGGCTATGTGTGAGGTCATGGGTCAGCTGGGAGTGGCCATCGATGGGGGCAAGGATTCTCTGAGCATGGCGGCCAGAGTGGGGACAGAGACGGTCAAAGCGCCAGGTACTCTCACTTCACTCCTTCAGTGCAGGAAGATCCACAAATGGTTTATGGAAGCACATTTGAGCATCAATCATCCTTTACGTTCTTCATCATTATTTATGCACCACAGAATTCACAAAGAATTTTTTTTTACAGATTTTACAAGGACAGCATTGCAAGAAGAAGAAAAAGATTGAACCTAAAGCTTTGCACACAAATAAAGTCTCTGTAGCAGTCTGGTTTTTGACCTCTTATTTTTCAAAAGTAAATATTAATCTAAAATTAGTATTACATCGGCCGACTCCCTTAGAAATCCTCGGCTCATTCGCTGCTGTCTGAAAGGTTTTCTGTTTCAGATGCTAAAAGTCTGATTTTTCTTTGTATCGACCGTCTTTTTGTACATGTTCTCCAGTTTTTTATTTTCTCTCTGAGTCATCCATAGCTATAAACCTTGGGCAGTCTGTTCTGGTTTTAAGCAATCAAACCTTCTATCCTTTAAAGTAAATTAAATATACCCTGAAATCAATATGTCACTTGACATTATGTGCTGCTGAACAATATTTTGCTCCATCATGAGCTAATAGCACTTCATCTGCTCACCCTCATAAAATGCGTCCCATAAAAACAGCCAGGAAATGCCTGTACAATCCTGTCTCTACTGTATGCATGTTTCATCCTGTTTTCATCTGTGTACTCATAATGTATGAGTTTCTGAATTTAACAGGATTTAATCTGTTCCAGGAGCTCTGGTTATTTCTGCATATGCCGTTTGCCCTGACATCACCGCCACAGTGACGCCGGATCTCGAGGATCCGGATGGAAAAGGTGCGATATGCCGACAGAAAGAAAGGACGAATCTGTCACTCTGACTGGTTGAAAGCAGGATTTTGACCTGAATTAATCCGCACTTTCCATACCATCACAGTGTTTTTTGTTTTGTTTTGTTTTGTTTACCCCTCCAGGCGTGTTGTTGTGGGTCCCAGTCAGTTCAGGCCACCATCGTCTCGGCGGCTCTGCCCTGGCTCAGTGCTACAGCCAGCTGGGGGACGTTTGTCCAGACCTGGACCGGCCTGAGTTCCTGAGCGCCTGCTTCACCACCACCCAGAAGCTCATAGAGGGTCAGTCTGCCAACACATTCAAACTTTCAATACCCAGATGAGCACATGCAAGTGTTTGCTTTGGTTAAGTCTGCCTCAGGTTCACTTTTTCCTCCAACTCTTCCTTCATTAGCTATCGTCGTACCATGACCAAACTGCCCCCTGCTGGTTTGGCTGTTTATTTCAGCACATAAAAAGCTACCACTGATTTCCATCAGTGATTTTCAGAAGCCAAAGTGTCAGTTCAGTTTTATTATTACAAAGCTGAAATTTATTTTCTCTTTGCTCAGATCGTCTGCTCAGCGCAGGACATGACATCAGCGACGGCGGCCTCATTTCCTGCCTGCTGGAGATGGCTTTTGCCGGGAACCGTGGGTTTGACGTTGAGCTCTCTTCAGATGGATCCGGAGGTGAATGAATGGATTTGTTCTGCTTCTCTGTCATAAAACATTCGGCCTCTTCAGGTTCTTATGCTGCTGAGACTTTTTCAGACATTCATCTGCTCATGATTTTACCACAGGATCCATAGAAACGAATCAATAAGCGTCTAAAATGTTTGGAGGCAAAGTGTTGCTCCTTCTGCTCTGCTGTTGAGCTGAAATCCAGAATTTCTTTATGGATTCAAATCAGAACAACAATGCATCCATCAAAACAGTGAGAAATATTTTCATTTTTACACAGGTATTTGGGGTTTTAGTCTTAAAAACTTGAATTAAATGCCACCAACTTCCTCACAGATACTATTGTAAGAAAATCAGATCAGATTTTTATTATAATATTTCTACTTAGACTTAAACTACTTAAGCAGCTTTTGCATTAAATTGTATCCATTCAGTTATTTTTTTTCTGAATGGAAAAATAACTTTTTATATTGAAAAGTATTTAAAATTAAGACCTTAAAATGCATAAAATTCTCTTTAAAAAAAAAAATGTTTGCCTTAAATGCATTAACTACTGGCCCTAAAGTTTGATGAAACCTGCAGAGATCCTGTGTCGGGATTTCTGCTCCAGCCTGCTCAGTGTTCACTCTCCTTCCTCTTCTTCATTCCGTAAAACTGTGTTGCTCCCTGTTTTCTCTGCAGTGATGGAGCTGCTGTTCAGCGAGGAGCTGGGTTTGGTTCTGGAGGTTTCTCAGACTGATCTAGAAGCCGTTTGTCAGAGATACAGGGATGGAGGCCTGCGGTGCCACCGCATCGGCAGAACCTGCGGCTTCGGACCAGATGCTACGGTGAGACACCCGCGGACCGTGCCGAGACCCTCTTCTTCTCACGCTGACTGATTCTCTTCCCCCCGTCGGCTCCCAGGTCAGGGTCCGGGTGGACGGACAGGAGGTTCTGTCCGAGTCAGTGCCCGACCTCAGGGCCGTTTGGGAGGCAACAAGCTTCCAACTGGAGCGCCTCCAAGCCGATGAGCAATGCGTGAAGCAGGAGGAGGAAGGGCTTTCCAAGAGGACACAACCTTACTTTAAGCTGACCTTTGACCCCTCTGAAATTCCCAGCATGCGACAGCTCGGTAAGATTAATATTATATTATATATAAGATTATATTGGTATTATAAAATATTCTCTTGCAAAATATTTGCATGTGTCTAACTTTTGATATTGTGTCATGTTGCAATTATAAATTTTCTTGGATAGACTAACAAAATAAAGTGCTTAATGGGGGTATGGAAGAAAAAACATATTGCAAAAACACAAAGACTTACCAAGTATTATTAATACAAATAAAAATCAATTGATTTATTATTCTATATCCTTCAAAACTACATTAAAGTTAGTGCTCCTAACTTTAGAAAATATTGAAAAGTTGAAGGGGTAAAAGGATGTTTGTAAGTTTTTACATTTTATGGTAAAGTAATCCTGACGTTAAGTTTACTGAGTCAGTAATTTCTGCTTTTCTTCCTTCAGCTGCAGGTTTGCCACGCGTCGCTGTGATCAGAGAGGAGGGCAGCAATGGAGACAGAGAGATGTCCGTGTCTCTGTTCATGGCGGGCTTTGAGGTCAATAACAAACGCCTCTCAATCAGAGCGTCATGCGGGTTCCCTTCCTGGCTTAAATGTAACCCTGGCTGTGCAGGTTTGGGACGTCACCATGCAGGACCTCTGCTCCGGATCCTTAACCCTCAAAGCTTTCAAGGCGGTCGTGTTCGTCGGAGGATTCAGCTACGCAGACGTCCTGGGATCGGCTAAAGGTGAACCATGAAGCATCGCTTCATGACAGGATGCCTTCAGGTGCAGGGCTCCTCCTAGTCACAGTTTCTTTCTTTTCTTCAGGTTGGGCTGCTACTGTGGCCTACAACCCCAAGGCTAAAGCTGAATTTGAGCGTTTCCAGCGCAGGGAAGACACCTTGAGTCTGGGAGTGTGCAATGGCTGCCAGCTGCTCGCCCTGCTGGGCTGGGTGGGAGAGGGACAGGAAGGAGCAGGTGAGATCAGATGCATAACATTCATTAACAAAGAATATTCAGACTGTCTTGGATCCAAATGTAGGAGCTCAGAAATGTCTTATTCAGTGACAGAAAAAGAATCCAACTATTTTAGGGCTAAAACTAACAATTGTTTCACCCCTTAGGGTTTTGAGAAAATAGACGTTTATCAGTTAAATGTTAGTCGATCGATAAGATCAACCATCTTTCGATTAACTCATTATAAGCATTATATGCGTGCCGATTAGGCTGCTTAGAAATCTTATTACTTCTTCTTTATCAAAATGTACTTGTTTTGGTTAGACTCTGAAGTGGTGCTGACCCACAACCGGTCCAGGCGGTTCGAGTCGCGTTTTGTCAGCGTTGGGATCCAGAAGTCGCCGTCCATCTGGCTGAGAGGCATGGAGGGCTCCGCATTGGGAGTCTGGGTCGCTCACGGAGAAGGTAAAACTCTGAACCGCATCGGATCCTTTGGGTTCGTACAGCAGTTAGTGAAAATAACTAACTGCTGTACGGGTTTTGCATATTTTGCATATTTACTTCCTGAGCAGCTCTGCTCTCAGTCGTAGGTTAAGTTCATTTGCCTGAGTCGCTTCAGAGTCAGCAGCCATGTTTGACGTTTGTCCGCTCCATCCTGCAGGTCTAATGCGATTCCGCAGCCCGCGGGCCCAAGACCTGATCACCTCTTCCGGTCTCGCCCCTGTCCGTTACCTTGACGACCAGGGCTCCCCCACAGAGGAGTACCCTCTGAACCCTAACGGCTCCCCTCAGGGCATTGCAGGCCTGTGCTCCAAGGACGGAAGGCACCTGGCCATGATGCCCCACCCGGAGCGCTGCACCCTCGGCTGGCAGTGGCCCTGGGCCCCTCGGGACCTCAGGCCTGACCTCTCACCCTCACCCTGGCTGCGCATGTTCAGGAATGCAGCCGCCTGGTGCAGCAACTCAGATTAATGTGATTCTATTGCTGGTCAAGTATTACTGGATTCAATTTTTCACTTCATGCTACACGTCTCTGTGTTTTTATTGCACGGTTTTATGGTTAAGAACTCAAATATTTACATGTTGAATCATCTTACACCAATTATGTTTGCAGAAAGGATCAGCTGCATCCTTGAAACAATTAAAACTCATCTTCATAATAAATTTGTTTTAAAAAAAAACTTTTCTGGGACTTAAATAAAGATGAACGTTACAATAAATAATCTTTATTTTAAGCATAAAAACAGCTTCACACAATGTCACATATATATACAAGGAAAACATCAGAGTACGGTCATGACGACCGTCTGCAACTTGCTACATTTGCAGGTAGAACTTTAAAGGTTGAGATTTAAAAAGTCTTTTCCAATATTGCAGCAACTAATTGACGCTTGTCAGCTCAGGAAAGACAGCCCAATGGCCACACTGCATCTGAACACATCACAGTTACATAAGCTCTGTAAACACTCGACAAGTCCACAGTCTGAGGGGATCAATGGCGTCCAACTCCATTGATCTCTCATCTGCTCATCCAACGAGGCAGAGAGCAAAAATCCAATAAAAGTCCGTTTCAAACGTCTTTACGGTCGAGCAGCATAAAACTACAACGAGCTCCCCATGACTCCCTGTGAGGTCGTTCTGCTCGGAGAGTGCCGTCCCCCGTCTGGTGCAATGTGCTGGTTGACGTTTATGACGCAAAGGAGCAGCAGAATGACCACCACCAGGTCGTCCAGAACCCCCAGCAGCCCGCAGAGAGAGGGGTCCGTTTCCAGGGGGGTCGACGACGGCGCGGGGTCGACAGAGGGAGAGGAGGAGATGGACACCACAGTCCCCACGCAGCACAGAGCCACCCTGAAGAGGAAGAGCCAGACCAGACCTCCCATGGGGCCAAGGCAGTTACGAGCCAGTAACTGCAGAAGAAGAGGCGCGTCGCAGAGGTAGTCTGTCATCTGGAGGGGGACACGACAAGGATCAAGTCAGACTGGAAGACATGTCGGAGGGTTTTGCACAGGAAAAAAAAAAAAAAAAAAGGCATGAGAGCAAATCTAAAGTTAAACCTGGTCCATGTGGTCTGTTCTGATCAGTTGAGATCAAAATGTGTATTTTTTGCACAAATTGAAAAAACTAGAAAAAACAAAAATGGTGGCGAATGTGTGTGCGCCGTTATCGTTTTAAAAGTGTTAATGAATATTTCCAGAGGTCAAAGGTCAACCAGCACCCCCACATTCACAAAATCAAAAACATAAAGTTGAGGTAAGAAAAATATTAGCTGCACAAAACCAGTGCAAACATAGCACAATTAATTAATATCAATTTTGTTTGGGGTGGCGGGGGACAACTTTATTCTGGTCCTGAATGCATCGTCTTTTCTAAAAGGTACTTTTTCAAAGTTCATCTGCTTCTATTCAGTGTCTCACTAATCTGCCATGCTTCCGTCCTCCAAGAAGCTCATTTCTATTTCCTAACAGCTGTATGTGAAGGAGAGCCTTCTGGGAAATCAATTACTTTCTGCCTCTGCCATTGTCAAGTGTTAACCAGGTCCTCTTTCATCTGCCTTTTTTTATTTTTTATTTTTAGAATGAAATAAAATCTTGAGGTTGCATAAGAGGTGCTCCCATTACCCATTGTATGCAAATGTTAATGAAATTTTGTCATTTTCGTCTCAGTCTCGTCTGATGTTGCATTCAGCGCTGTGAAAGAAGGGAGTCCCTGTGCAGACACTCACCCTTCGCGGGGCTCCTGAATAGCGTTTGTTGTAGTCCGTGATTTCCCCGAGAACCTTCTTGGACTGCTGATCTGATCGGCTCTCCTTAAACAGGTTGCAGAGCACGCTGACCTGAAAGAGTCACGGGCCGCTTTTTATTACAGGTCTGACGCGCCCCACGCGACTGGTGATTAACGATAAATCTGTTATGTCAGTCTACCTTCTGTCTGCAGAGAGGACAGCTGACCGCGTCCAACCAGGAGCCGTGTCTCCAGTAGGTGAGCAGACAGTTAGCTGCAGAAACAAGCACGACGTTTTAACACGTTTGTCTTAAAATGTCAGTTGATCAAGCAAAGTTTCAGTGTTTCAATGTCTGTGAAGAGTCTTGGCAGAGCGGTTGTAACTGAGATATGGGCGTTAACAGTGAACGTGGGGGAGATCATGTGTTTTGTAATCAGTAGCTGATAGTGTCAAGGTTAAACAGGAGTGGGTTTATGTCATAAACGCTATCACTATCCAGAGGCAAAGATTTCCTAATATAGAAGCCAAAGGATTTCTTTCCCAGCAGGAGGCGAGAAACGTTGATAAAGTAAAGCCTGGCTGGAGTTTTAAAGCTCTCTGGCTGAAGTTCACTCATTTACTCAGAAGAATAAACAGGACTTTTATCAAGTCCTACTTACTATTAGGACTTGATAATTTTTCAGTTTTGGTTTTATCAAGTGAAGATGAACTCTGTGAACTTCTGAGCATCAATAAACCACAATCAGGGCCCCTACAGCTGCTGTACACCGACTCTGAATCACTTGTTGACCAACAATATACTGTGCTTAGCTCCAGCATTTACACATGAACTTCCTTACCTTTACATAATCAAACTTTCATGCATTTTATTTGGAAACGTATGCGATAGACTACCAGAAAGTAGCGCATAACCATGAAGTGGAAAAAAAAGGAAAAAAAGAATAGACTTAATTAAAAAAAAAATACTTCGTAGAGCAATCTTCTGGTACTTTGAAGTACATTTATTCCATGTTTCAGCATCTAGAGACTAAATTTTGCCCATTATTATTTACAACATGGGTCAGAGTGACTTTGAAGAGGCCATTCTAACTTGTGAGTGTATTTTTGATTAAATCATTCTGGCTTTAGAGACACTGTCCCACTGGAAAATGAACCTCAGCTCCACTAAATTGGCCTGTATCCCTACAGCATCACAGCCACCATATTTCCAGGATGACGTGCAGCTCTTGCTTTCAACCACATATGAAGATTTGCATGTGCAAAGAACATTTAATTTTGGTTTTATCTTGATGCAGACTTTTATTTCCAAACAATAAAAAAAACGTCTCTCTCCTACCACCACTTAGTTATGCGGGACTTTGTGTTTTGCCTGTCACATAAAATACATTGAAGTTTGAAGTTATGAGAAAACGTTCAGCAACTGGAGTGTAAGAGTGGCAGAGATGGGTCACACTGTGTGTGTGTGTGTGTGTGTGTGTGTGTGTGTGTGTGTGTGTGTGTGTGTGTGTGTGTGTGTGTGTGTGTGTGTGTGTGTGTGTGTGCGATCTCGTACCACAGAATAAATGGCCGCAGTTGGTCTGGACTGGGAATGTGGCCGTCTGCAGGCACACTGGGCAGTGGGAGTCTCTTGAGCTCATGGATGCACGAGGCTCCTGAAGAGAGACACGCGCAAGGAAATCACAAACACGCACACAAACAACAAACGCATATAGCATATTGAGGATTATGAGAAAACCTTCTGAACAAGTGTAGCGGATTTTTTTGTTTTTTGTTACTTTGTATTTAGATCAATTAGCTCACATGAGGAGCTGCAGGACTGTTTGCCAACAGCCGATCACAACCCCTAATAAAAGCTGTGATTATCACGAGGTCGGACGACAATCACGTCCTGAACGAAGCCGCAATTGTGGTCGTGGCTGTGCGTAAGCGCGACGCTCACCTGATGGCAGCTTGCGCGCATTGTTGGCTGCTCACAGGTGCAGGTGGGATGACGCCAGGCGATCCTGACCCACTCGATCTTCAGGGCGCAGATGGAGCGGCCTGCAAGATGAGACATGGACATGACTGACAGCTCTTGTCGCTGCCAGTGACGCCCCACTACTGACTGGAGCTTGATGAGAGTCATTAGGCCTGAACCTACTCTGATTGTGGGTCACACATATTGACGCAATGAAGATTACATTTATGCATGCGAGAAAAAAAAAAATGAAAAGGCTAACACAGGCACCCAAAGTGTGTTTTTACGCCTTTCATTTGACAACTTTAAGCGTTACGTGTACAAAGTGCGTCCACAATGAACAGGATTGAAGTTAAATAATAAACGGATCAGAAAAAAAAATGTCCTAAATAAATCCCATAACATTACATTTCTACACTTACGAATTAACTGTGTCACTCTGGAAAGAGCAGCTGTTAGTCCTCGCTCAGGAAAACACGAGGAAGTGCAACGAACCTGGACTGAGGTGTGCGCAGCAAGGCTCGCGTAAAAGCAGAAATGTTCAGGAGGGAAAGGCGCCTTCTCTGTTTCCAAGCGGGGAGTGAAGTGCTGCAGCCTGACAGCGCTGCAGCAGATAATACATCCCAGCTGCTCGTCAATGATTAACTACACCCTCCAATATCAACCCGGGCCCTTTGGTTTAAAGGTGGCCCCGGATCAATGAGACTCTAGAGGAGCTGCAGCAAAGAAGGCGTTTAATTTGGTTCACGTTGGACTGTGATTATTAGTGTTTATGATTTAAATAAGTAAGGAACATGTGTTCCTTTTATTTACTCTGGTCACTGATGGACAATTTGGATCATATCAGATAAGTTTCCTTCCACGCTTTGTTTGGTGGGTAGGATCTGACTTAGCCAATCATTTACTTTTCTTTGCTCTGGCAAACCTTCTCCACACAATATTTCACTCACAGGGAACTGCTGGTTATGAAATCCATGAAGCGGGCACCAGAAATGATGCTATTTACCAGAGAACTTAAAACCAGGCTGCCCACAGACCCGTGCAGGCTTTTATAAGTTTAAAGCCTTAAAACACCTGTCCAGATTGGACTCAAGGTCCAATTTCAATTCACAGAAAGTCAGAAAAACCAGGTTCAGAGGAAGTCAAGACATTTGCTTCAGAGAGTCTGGCTTCAGCAGATCCAGACTTAAGCCACTGACTTGTACTCAGAAAAACCTTACACTGATCAGAGGACTTAAAACTAGTTTAGAGTCCCGTGTTGAGGTAGTCATTGTTTGGCCTCGGTTTAAAGGCTTTGACATCTTCTGAATGCAAGGTCTGCATGAACTTTGTAAGGAAGCCCGTTTCCATGTTGCCTCCGCAGGTTGCAGGAAGCGCCCATTGACAGGCTTGGTGAAGATACAGCAAGCAAGCAAGTTACGCAAATGTGGCATTTTATTCCTCGAGTAAAACTCCCACATGTCTGATCTGTAAATGCATCAGTGGACTGGTTGGTTTTTGTGCATTTATTTATTGTTTTTTTACTACTGGATTCAAAACTACAACCTCTTTCAAAGAATCTGTAGCACTTTTTTTTTTCAATCAAATCACAACGGTTTATTGTCGTTTTATGGTAGAACTACTTTTGCGTCCTCTGACAGTCCAAAATCATAATGGTTAGATTGTGTCTGTGCGTGTGTGTATGTGCATGTGTGTGTGTTCGCGTGTGTGTCTCTGAATGGATGTTCATCCTGTGTATGTTTGTGATGAACTGGCAATCTGTCCATGGTGTACCCTGTCTCTTTCCCAAAGACTAGAGGAGATGGGAGCCATTCCCATTGGTGGGTACGGACAATGGATGGATGTAAGTAATATCTCTCTCTCTCTCTCTCTCTCTCTCTCTCTCTCTCTCTCTCTCTCTCTCTCTCTCTCTCTCTCTCTCTCTCTCTCTCTCTATCTATATATATATATATATATATCTATATATATATATATATATGTGTTGTGTTTGTGTGTGTGTGTGTGTGTGTGTGTGTGTGTGTTATTTTTGTTTTGTTTTTTTTACATTTTGACCATTTGTCATTTTCTGTAAATAAATTCTCAAGGTTTTTAAGTAGAGTTTGAAAAGGTGTGTGTGTGTGTGTGTGTGTGTGTGTGTGTGTGTGTGTGTGTGTGTGTGTGTGTGTGTGTGTGTGTGTGTGTGTGTGTGTGTGTGAGGAGCATACTTGTTATCTTAACTGTCAGGAGGACTCTTGTCTTTACATTATCCAAGATGTAAAGAGTCTAAAAATAAAAAACAAAACCAAGAGAAAATGCAAATTTTTGTCAAACGAACACCAGCTTTTGCAGTTGTCTCTGAATTTTTGCTGATTTATGATGCAACATAATTTATCAAATCAAGCAAAGTCTAGAAAAAAAAAATTTTGTGCATCATTAACATATGAAAGAAAAATTGATCTGGCAAAAATCACAATCAGGAACGGTAGTTTTTTCTTTTTTTACTACTGCCGCTTGTAAAAGCCTGATTGGTGCGTACGTAATGTTCTCAATTTGACTGAGCGGTCCCACAGCTGCTTTTAAAACGTTGATAAAGTCAGCTGTGGCAAACGAATACAAAACTTCTGAGCTTTTGTATTCGTTTGTAAAACGAAACCATATAACGACTAAATGGTGGGAATGAGTTAAATGCAACTCAGCTTTCATTACAGAAAAAGACACCAACCAGTCTTGGATCTGACTGCTCAGACAAACAGAGATAAAGGATGAAAGGTCAGTGGGACAGTGGTCACTACAATCAGACTAACTTCACACTAGTTCTGTCATCATGGTGTATCACGAAATTCAATAACAACCACAAATTTTTCAACCCAAAGGGAGACGTGTCGACAGCAAACCAAGAGATGGAGAACTCCTCAATGGGGTTATATCAGTCTGAAAACTAAATTTTTGCAAAGTAAACAAGCCAAAACGGTGCTCTTGATAATGCAGCGGATGTCAGATGTGACCGTCAGTATTTCTTTCACAGAAGTTGACACTGAACTTGGACATGACAGGCCTCACACAGTTCAGGAGTGTGTGCAATGCAGGAATATCTTGGCTAATATTTACTCTGGCACCCCAGATAAAAGCCGGAGAGTCCGCTGGCTTCAGGTCATCTAAAAATAGTCGCTATCGGTCAGTAAGGGTCAGGGTCACACAGTGGCAGAAATCAGATCAAACCGCAGCTGACATTTAAAACTGGCAAAGAGGGGAACCGCTCCCACCCAGGGTGAATGGGTAATGGTCAGTGTTCCCTCTCACACACACGCACACACACACGCACGCACGCACGCACGCACGCACGCACGCATGCACACACGCACACCATTTCATTCAATAATTTTCTGGTGATATCAAACCCTATCCAGATCTGAGGAGTCAGATGGATCTAAGAAGAAGACTTCTTCCATAGCAGCAGCTGACATGCATGCAGCTTTTTAATTATTCTGTTTATTTTCTCAGACCTTAAACTTCATTGTTGGGTTTTGCTCTTAAATACACTAAAAGTTTTGAGTTTGTTTTTGGTTGTTTGTGCGTGTGTGTGTGTGTCAACATATATCTGCCCTTCTGATTATTTAATGGACCCAGCTGCATTTTCAGATTTAAATGCATTCAATTCAACTATATTTATTATTTTTAGAAACCCAGTCTTGCTTTCATACAAACTATTTGCTTTGCAATTAAAATCAACTTGATCTGAATTTATTATTCAATAATGTGATTATGCAGCACAGCACAATCAGAAATGATTGCCTGTCACAAGATACTGCATTGTTTGGGGAATTTTGAGGCTGCCAGGGTACAGTGCTGATATGCCATAACATAATCTACAGCTAAATGGATTAACATTCCCAAAGTTTTAGTTTTCTCAGCGTTAACCAATGAGCTTTTCCAACCTCTACTAACTCTATGGATGGGGGTTTATTTCAAATAAATAATCAGCACAAATCAAACTTCAATAAAATATTGTTGCTGATGTAATAAATTAATGAAATCCTGTTCTATAAATATATTAGGGTTTTTATCTTCTCGTTTTAGGTAAATAAAGCATTTCTTTGTGATAACTTGTTTTCACAAAGAATTAAATTTTTATTATTTTCCTTTTAGTATTTATTTCTTATTTTTAGAGGTGATTTCATCCTGAAAATGGGTATTTTAGAAATGTTCCTTAAGCGCAATAATCGAGTGAAAAGTCGTTTGATCAGTGAAAGCGGGGTAAAACGCTTTAATCGCTTAATCACATAGGCGTATTCAGAATCCCAATGCTGCACTTTCATTGGCTAGAAAGTGTATAAATAGCTGCCAATCATATCTGAACTGAATGCTGATTGGTCCTCCCGCAAGCAACAGCACGCCAAGTAGCTTAGCAGCGTCATTCGCCAACACTTTACGTGATTTCGTAGCGTAAAGCGTCCTAGTTCGCTCTCGAGCTACGTATCTTTCGTTGGCAGTTTACCTTTGGCAGCAGGTGAGGTCAAATGCAGCGGCACAGAGCGGAAGAGCTTCGTTGACACGAGTGGAGGATATTATTTTTTTATTGTTTTTTTTTTTTTATTAAAAAAACCAAAAAGGGAAGCAAATGGAAGACAGTGCAACGGCGCTGGTGGAAAGCCTGATAATATGGGTGAGTGTGTTTGGTGAAGTGAATGTGAAGCTTAGAGGACTGCGGTATTTTTGTCACCTGTGTGGTGAAGGTGGTGGAGCTCTGTGGAAAGCTAGCCGAGCGAAAATAAAGAAGTTACGTTGGGAGACACGGATAATGCTATCCTATTTGGTCGACAATAAACTGATCATTTTTGGCGTTAGCTTGAAAGGCATAGTTACCGTAGCAACACCAAGTCAACCGGTACAAAGATTTGCGACAGCGATAAGGATCAACAGCCTGCTGCATGTTACAGTTAGCTTTCAATATAATGTCAATTATGGAGCGCTGAACGTGCCATAATCCAACAAATACATAATCATTATACGTAAAAACATCAAATAATAATGTTAACAAAATACAAGTTACATTAAAAGTGTTTGAAATAAATATAGAAAGTTGAGTGGACTAAGACTGAAAATCAATTTAAAAATTTCTCTTTGTAGTCATACAACTAATTGAATTATTTAGATTTTTTTTGTGCTCCTTGAATTAAAAGAGGGAAAAAAAAAGCTATGTAACTTATTAAATGTGGGTGTGTATCTCAAAAACCAGGAAAGTAGCTAGTATTGATCTGGTATGTTGACCTAGATTTATTAGATCTTACAGGGGATCCACTTGTATAAAAATATATTAAAATTGTAGACGACCACATCACTGATATTGCTTCAGTGATGCTTCAGTTAAACATCCTATAGTCCTGCACTGCTTCGCTATCACTGTAATTAGCCAAATAAGTACTACAGGACCAACCGCATCCTGTAACACATTCACAAACAACAACAACATGGAAATAAACTTTGGCTCAGTTTTACTCACAAGATCAATACCTGTATGATAAAAATGACAA